AAGGGTGCAGAGAAGAGAAACAAAGATGATTAGGGGATTGGAGGCTAAAACATAGGAAGAGCATTTGCTGGAACTGGGTATGTCTAGTTTAATGAAAAGAAGGACCAGGGGTGACATGTTGCAGTCTTCGAATTATTTGGAGGGGCTGCCCCAAAGAAGAGGGGGTGGTCCACCTGTTCTCCAAAGCCCCTGAAGGCAGGACAAGAAGCAATGGGTGGAAACTAACCAAAGAGAAAAACAACTTAGAAGCTTCCTAACAGTGAGAACAAATAACCAGTGGAGCAGCTCCATCGTTGAAGGTTTTTAAAGAGATGTCTGGACAGCCCTTTGTCAGGAATGGAATAGAACAGGGGTGTCAAACTCAAGGCCTGAGGGACGGACCTGCCCTGCGAGGTGCTTAAATCCGGTCCATGGGGCCGGCCTAAAACTATCAAAGGACTGGCCCGCAGTGCCTCTGGCGGCTAAAACAGGCTACGTGCACACACACGCCTCATTTTCACCCTCCATGGCCTCCCGCAGCACTCTGCTGGCTGAAACTAGGCAAAAACAGGTTGAAAATGAACTGAAAAACAGACCAAAAACAAGCTGATAATGGGCCGAAAAAATGGACCGAAAGTAGGCCGAAAACAGCCAAAAAACGGGCCTAAAAATGGACCCAAAACGGGCCACGTAGTCCATTTTCGGCCGGCAGTGTGCTGCGGGAGGCCACGAGGCGCAGGGGGGGGGAGGCTGTGCAGATTTCCCCATGCCCCGTTTTGGCCCGCAGGATGAAACAGGAGGCATCCGCCCTGCCCTAACACACACACCCTGCCACCGTCCATCCGCTGAGAACTACAATACCGATCCGGCCCTCAAAGAAATCCAGTTTGACACGCCTGGTATAGAATCCCCTGCTCAAACAGGGGGTTGGACTAGAAGGCCTTCAAGGTCCCTTTTCCAACCCTGCGGTTGTTTTTCCGGTGGCCCCTTGTTGCTCTCGACATCCCTCCCTCCCCCCCTCCCCCCCCCCCCCCGCCGGGCGCCGCCAGTGGCCTCCTCACCGTGATGTTAATGGCTCTGGGCAAGATCCCCTTCTGGACCCAGGAATGGACCTCGGCCAGCTCCTTCTTCTGCTCTTCTGTGAATCTGGGCTGTTGCTTCTGCAGCTGCTTCAGTTTCTCGCGATCGTCTTGCAGGACAGTCTCCATGTCCCTGAAGAAGACAAGTGGGTCAGAAATGCCAGTCAATCTCTCTCTCTTATGGGGCCAGAAGCGGCCCCCGTGGCATTCGTTCCCCAAACTCCGACCAAAATTAAAGCCCAGCATCCCAGCATCCCCTTAACGATAACGAGAAAAGCAGTGTTGGTTTTCTTCTCTCTTGGGGAATCCTAAAAACCTCGATCCCAGGAGAATCGAGCGGGTCCAAAATCCCGACGTGGGAAAGGACTCACCTGGTGGGCAGCTGATAGGTCATCATGACCTTATCGTCGGTGTTGGCCATCAGCAACCAGATGGGATCCTGGAGGACGTATTTCATGAAGTGTTCGTTATCCTGTGCGGATCGCTTCTTGGCCCGTAAATCATTCTCGGACGAGTCAATGCTGCCGAAGTATTTGCTGGTGTTGCTACTCTTGCTGCTGGCTGCGGGAGAGGAAAAGAGGAAGCTGGTTGGATGCAGGAAAGTCCTCCCCGTACCGTGAACTGGACAAAGGCATCCAGTAAGCGAGGAACTGCTGGTGAAAATCTCCCGAAAGCGACCACAAAGCCATGATCTTCATGGCTTTCCTGCTAGGGCAAGGGTCGGCAACCTGTGGCTCTGGAGCCGCATGTGGCTCTTTCATCCATCTGTGTGGCTCCCTGTCGCCAGTCGGTTCTGCAACTAGGGGTTTCAGTTAGGACAAGTAGAGGAAAAGGGACGCCGGGCTAGGAGACTCTATGGTGAGGGAACCAGATTTCCCGTCGGCTCCAGGATTGAACGGGAGGGAGCGGGGTTCCAGTTAGGACCTTTGTGGCTCTTTTGAGTGTTTAAAGTTGCCGACCCCTGTGCTAATAACTGATAACAAAGTGTCGGCCACCTACCCAGATCCTCTCCCATGAAACCCAGTTGCTAGACTTACTGGTCCCGCTGGCAGACGTGCTCTCCCCGTTGGAGCCCGAGGCCATGGAGCCCGAGGCGGCTGACCCCGTGCCGGAGCGCGAATCTTCTTGAAGGAGGAGATCCAAGAGGTCACTGGAGCTGGACAAAGCGTCGTTGTTGGAGGAATCATGAGCTTCCACCTGGAAGGGGATGATGGCCCAAGGTTAGGACCAGGAAGGAGTATCCGCTCCAAGAACAAGCTCCTCTCTAGCAAACCCCGATGTCGCCCCTGTTCCTATGGCTGCTGTACCCCCTTCCCTGCGGCTCTCATCGCAACCTCGATCTCCTTGTCCAGCTCACATCGGAGGAAAACTCTCCTGTGAAGAACCTCACAAGGTTAAGTCCTGGATTTGAACGATGCAACTCCAAGAACAAAGGTGTCAAATTCAAGGGCCGCGGGCTGGATCCGGTCCGTTTTGAGGGCTTAGATCTGGCTCTCAGGCCGCTCTGGAAACCACAAGGACCGGCCGCAGTGCCTCTGCCAGTGAAAAAGGAGCCCGGGGGGCCTCTCCAAGCTCCGTTTCAAGTTCCGTTTCGGCTGGCAGAGGGCTGCAAGAGGATGTCGTGGGTGAATGTCGAGCTGGCCACGCCCACCCCGCGAGGCCAAACGCAACCCTAACGCGGCCCTCAATGAAATCGGGTCTGACACCCCTGTCCAAGGATTGGAGGCATCTTGGTCGCCGAAGGAAGGACAGGACACCCTACAGCTGCCAATTGCTGCCTTCCCTCCGGGTGATCAAAAATCTGAACTCATTCCCAGGAGGAGGACTCTGTCCAGAGAGCCCTTTAGCCCAGGGGCCGCTTACCATGCAGGCTTCCTTTGGCGGGCCGAGTTCATTCCCCAGGCCCTGCCCGCCGGACACTCCAACCCAATCTGCTGAGGTGCCGGCTGGTCCCGCTTGACCGCTCAGGGCGGCTTCTTGGCGGTCACTCAGCTTGGGCAGCTCTTCCATCTGGAGCAGGTCCAGCTGCAAGGGGGAGCTGCAGCGCGACTCGAAGAGGGGGGATTCGGCCCGCTCGGGCTGGCTCATCGAGTGCGGGGTGGAAGAGCGGGAGGGGACCTGCAGGACGGCTTCGGGCCCAGGAGCCAGCGTGCCGCCAACCGGCGGCGGAGGCCCGAAGGGGAAAACGGGACTCCCAGGAAAGTATGCCTGGGGGAGGGGGTTGTTCATCTGGGGGAAGACATAATTGGGCAGGACGAGGGCCACCATGGGGCCGACGAGAGGGGCGGGGAACTGAGGGGCCGGCAAGGGGTTGTGCGAAGCCTCGGTGGCCGGGGGCGCGGTGGGGCGAGGGGGAAAGACAGGGATGGGGTAGGTGGGCATAACGGTGGGGTAGGACATGTTTGGGAGGGAGGGCGGGGAAGGGCCGGAGGGGGCCCAAGAGGAGGCGGCTGGGGGACAGGGCAGCTGTGGTGGGGAGCCAACGGAGGTCTGGGGGGAGCTGGTGCTGTCTGACGATTTGTTCTGCCGGATGCGTTTGGCCTTGGACTTCCGGCTGCGTCCCCGTCTGCCTGACCCGCGAGGGCCCTGGCACCGGCCTCTGGGTCCTGGGGAAGCAAAAGAAGAGAGGGTGAAGAGGGGGGAGGAAGAGGAGGAAAAAGCAAGAAAGATGATGAAGAGGAGGGAGAAGGAAGAGGGAGGAAGTGGAAGAGGGAGAAGGTGGAAGGAAGGTAGAGAAGGAGGAAAGAGAAGAGAAGCAGGGAGGAAGGAGAGGAGAATGAGGAAGGAATGAGACTAAAAGAAGATTCATTTAACCAGACCAATCTTAAAAGGCCTAAATTTATTTTATTTATTTATTTATTTTATTTATTTGATTTGCCAATTGTTTACAAGATAATAAGTATAAATGTATACATAGTTGTGAATACATGAAATGGTTACATATAAGAAAAATAAAAGAATAAGAGAAACAATAGGACAGGGACGGTAGGCACGTTGGTGCGCTTATGCACGCCCCCTACAGACCTCTTAGGAAAGGGGTGAGGTCAATAGTAGACAGTCTAAGGTTAAAGTTTTTGGGGTTTGGGGAAGAAACTACAGAGTCGGGTAGAGTATTCCAGACATTGACCACTCTATTGCTGAAGTCGTATTTCCTGCAATCAAGTTTGGTGCGGTTTACTTTGAGTTTGTATCTATTGTGTGCTCTTGTGTTGTTATGGTTGAAGCTGAAGTATTCATTGACAGGACATTGCAATGCATGATTTTATATACCATGCTTAAGTCAGACCGAAGACGGCGTAGTTCAAGGTTTTCTAGTTCTAGAATTTCAAGTCTGGTGGCATAAGGTATTCTACAACGAGTAGAGGAGTGGAAAACTCTTCTTGTGAAATATTTCTGGACTTTCTCAATTGTGCTAATATCAGATATGTAATGTGGGTTCCAGACTGATGAACTGTATTCGAGTATTGGTCTAGCAAATGTTTTGTATGCTCTGGTTAGTAGTGTGATATTACCAGAGAAAACTTTACCCATAAACTTTAGTCCAGTGGCCATAATTTAGCCTTTTAAGAACAAGAAGAAGGGGGGAGTGCAGAGGAAGGAGGAAGCGGGAGGTAACATCGTCAGTGCCAGAAAGGTATAGGATTTTCAGAGAGGAGGAAGAAGAGAATTAGAAGGAAGAGGAAGAAAAAGATGAGAGAGAGGAGAAGGAGGAGGAGGAAAGAGAGGAGGAAGAAAGGAGGAAAAAGAAGAAAGGAGAAGAGGAAAAAGAGGAGGAGGAAGAAGAAAAGAGGAGGAAAAAGTAGAGGAGAAAGAAAGGAGGAAAAAGAAGAAAGGAGAGGAAAAAGAGGAGAGAGA